TCTCTCCACTCACCCCATTCCTTTCACCATCCTCACCGTTCTCCTGCGATAGGAAGTCAAGCGTGGTTCCATGTTACTGATCTCATGCTCGCTGTCCTCGCACCATGCAGGGTATGTCTCAGCTCTAAGGGGTTGAACTTGCCAGTGTAACTGTAACAAAGGAAGCATGCAAGTGGGAACATTAAAAATATAGAGATTAGCCAATTCAGCAGCAACAATTCAGCAACAATTCCAAAACAATGAGCTTACAGTGATCAAGCCTGAACTCAGCTCCCCAAAAATTAATTTAAGGACTTTAGCAGAAGTGCTGAGGAATGTTGCACGATGGCTGTGTCTGACTGCCCTTTGTCACTATACCAGCATCTCTCACAGCTTCTACTGGAACCAGGGCAGATATGAGTCACCAGCTCCTTTGGCAGCTAGGCTGTTGTGGGTCAGGTGTTTCTGGGATAGAGAAGATGCCAAACTTTTAAGTTCCATGTTTGAAAATACCAGCCATTCTGCAGTTTAGAAGATGGAGGTTAGCAGCTTAAGGCAGGTCATATTTTTCACCTCAACTACTTGACAGTGTCCCTTTGAATATCTGAATGCAACAGAATAGGTACTTCTCTGGCAGAGAATGTGGGAGATGAAACACCAGCCAAGAAAGTTGACTTACTGAGGACCTACACAAACAGCATGGTTTCTGAGACCACTGTACCTTTATCTGACCAATCTTACTATCTACCCAAGAGTGCTTTTGGCTGAGGGGAGGGAAGGAATGTTAGTGGGAGGAGGGAGAGGGAAGGGGCAATTCTGATCATCTCTAAAAGCAGCTACCCCCAGAACGAAGGTGTTGCAATGAACAGGTCTCTGGAAGAAACACTTCTGCTCCACAGTAGAAACCTGGTCAAAGCGAGCAAACACAGCAGCCTCTCACGCCCACGCCTGTCCTGGAAGGTATCCTTGTTCCAAGAGATAGGTAATTGTGCTAGATTTGGGAAGGGAGAGGCATATGCAGCAGAGGGATAGCTGTGAGATATAATATTGTTTCCCTCCCTATCTTGTTCATTTAATATGGAGAAGTCAAATTCCTTTAATTTGAGTAAAGGCTAAAAGTTTATAAGGTCAGAAGCACAATTTGCCATCCAGGAGTGGCATGATCCGGTAATCTGAGCACACAGGACTCTGCATACTCTCACTCCAGCTCTGCCACCGACTCTGTAGCCTTGGGCTGTTTGGCTCAGTCCCCCATCCACACAAAGGGGGAATAACAATACATACCTACCTCACAGGGGTGTTGTGAGAATCCACGTTCCTAAAGCCTGTTGAAATGCGAAGTCTCATGCATACTGCAGGCAGTCACAAAGCGTGAGGAGCGTGGTGGGGGTGAGCAGTGCTACCCTTTTCTGGTTATAGTCTGAATCACTCAGTGAGGGTCCTACGGGACCTCTCCTGCTCAGAGATCCTCCTTAACCCAAAGAGGAGGGTGTCATCTGAGTCCCCTCTCCTCCATTGCATGACATTTTAAGCAGCTGTGAGGTGCAGGGTAGCGACAGATATGAAGTCCTACTTGACCAGGGATTTGCTACAACGTTTTCTATATCTGTGGGGTTTGTTGGTTTGTTTTTTCCATATATTGCGCTTAGAAATAAACTTTCCACTTAGGGCTGGCGGTTCGGGGTCTCTTCTGTTGCATGGCAATGTATACAAGTCTTATTGTCTGTCTTACTGTGCAAATGATCCCACAGCCCCATTTCAGAGATGGGTATGGTCTGAGCCTTTTCATATCGGCATAAGACTCAAAAGCCTGTCTAAATTGTTTAATATTTAAACAACACTATGAACTTGTCAATTGTATGTGTTCTGTGCAATACGAAGCATGTCGTTACCTGGCTTGATGGGCAGACAGGCTAAAGGAAGCTAAAAACTTGTTCAAAGAGCTTCATATACATGCCAGCTTGGAGCCGAAGGGCTGCCACCAGCAAAGCAAACTCGAGGAAGCCACTGGAAACTGTTTCAAACCAGTTTGTTCCAGAACAAGGTGCTTCTGAGTTTATGAACTTCTGGGCTGCCAGCCTAAGAGAACAAGTGCAAATTTAATATTGGGTTTGGGTTTTTCTTTTTTTTTTTTTCCACCCCTTCCTAGCATTAATGGCAGAAATACTGAGGAGGGTCTCTTCCTTCCATAGCACAGTTCTCTGGTATCCCCCAATCTCTTTATGCCATCCCCTTTGTGCTACTATGCAGGACTTTAAAAGGTGCAAACGGAGACAGTATGCTCCTGAGACATGCAAAGTACATTGTGTATAGGAGGGTTCTGGCAGATCAAAAAGATAAGGCAGAGCTATGCTACAGAAGGTATCTCTTCTTACTGACATTTTTCCTCTGGTCTTGTCTACTGGGTTCCTAAAGAGACATTACTTGTATTTTTTTTACAAAGCAGTCAGACCAGCTTCCACCAACAAATAAGGCTTGCAAAGAGTTTGGCAGCTGTTTCTCCCAGTGGAAAAAATTCCAGGTCCTATCACTGTGGAGACCCCTCAGTTCTTGGGCTTTGTCATCCCCCAACTCTTTTTGGGAGTGGTCAGTGTGGAGGACCGTGTTCAGCCATCATCAGAGATTGTGTGTGTGTGGTCCTGCTCATTCTTGTGATTTCTGCTACTGTCTCCTGATTTTCTGTCAGTTTTGACAGGTCTGTCTGCTAATGTTCTTGAGAGGTGTTTTACTCTGTGTGAGTTGTCAATGCTGTTTTTGCCTACAGAAACAACAGTGCTGGCCTCCAGCTCCCATAGCTGTTCCATTCTTGCCCTTCACTCTCTTGCTAAAGATCCAAGTTCAGATCCTCTTCCTCTGTGCTTGCAATGGCTCAAGCACGTGCACCAACCCCGAGGGTGACCAGAGAACACAGGGACCATGAAGACTCTATATTACAGTCAGACTCTGTAACTCTCAGTCAATCTTATTTGATATGTATTCACTTTGCCACTCTCAGTGCCTGCTGCTAATTGGTTGCCACAAAAGACTGTATCATCAGAGAAACACGTACATCGAACTAACACTTGGTTTCCAGTTTCAAATGTCAGCAGTGATGGGCTGTCTTTCAAGTAAATCAAGCATGTTCCCTTTCAATTGTGGTAATTCATGCGAGGGCTGTGGTTTCCCAAACAAGGTGCTGAAAAGGTTCCTATCTCACCTTACTACGGTGGGCAGACCCAAGGAAAGAGCAAGTCAGCGACACAGGTTTGAGTCAAAAGAGGCATCAGTGGTCTGCTGCATTTTCACTCAGGGAGACAGAAAAAAACTACTCATGTCTGCCAGTTCCCTGACATTCCTCAAAGCCCTTATCTGTCAGCAGTAAAACATAAGAGCCAATGCCTGTAGACGGAGGACATCTGAAGACTATCCAGTTCTGAAGACCATCCTCTACCCGCATCTGGTTTTCAGTCATCTAAACTCCTATTTTCTTCAAGAGAAAAACAATTATTTTCTTTGCCAGATCTCTCCCATGTCTCACAGGCTCCTTAACATGTTCGAAACAGGCAAGTATAAAAGCACATAGATCCTAATGCAGCAACTTTGACTAAGCAAATCACTGGAGACAGGAATCCCACCCGCCTTTTGATGTATGAGCAGGCTGCACCACTAGCACTTCCAACCTGTGGATCCACCACCAGGATTCCTGCCTCTCAAGACTATGAGCACAAGGCCAGAGGACCTATTCCTTATTATGTCAGTCAAGCTCCCAAAGGGAAAAATCCCTGCAGTAATTGCCTTGGTGGACAGCAGTGCATTTGCCTTAGTGGTTAGTGGCTGGGGATCCTAACCTCCCCTCTCCTTGTTACCTAACATGTGATGCTTCCTTTTCTCTCCTGAGTCACCAGATTCATCATCCCCTCTGCTGTCCCTAACCCCTGCTCTGAAGATCTCCTGAGCAGAAACAGGCAGAGGATTCCTTAGAGACTGGTTTTACAGTCTTGCTACAGATCTTTCATGTATTCAGACAGGCAGACTCATTTCAATGACGGCCAATGGCATATTTGAATCCAGAAAAGAGAAACAAGTGTAGAAGCTTATTGCTCTGACCTTTATCTCCCCTTCCACCTTGAGGGAAATACAGCGAAAACATCAATTGGTTTCCTTATGACAGCAATAAGCTGAT